TATACAGAAAATTATAAAAGTATTTCAACAAACAGAAAAATTTTAATTCTCTTGTGATTATAAATCTCATAATTATCATGAAAAAATGATATTTTTGAATCTATTGATTTCAATGAGGCCATAAAAAATTTAGCTTTCCTAAATGCAAGAAAAAAATGTTTTTAAATATAATCATATTTCTTAATGTAATTTATTGTATAAAATATTGATTGAAACTAATAAATTATGGTAACTTAATTTTTATTTTAGTTGTAATAAAAGAAAGACTTTCAGAAAAAAATGTTGATTTAAAATAAAAATTTGTCTCGGTACGAATTTAAACACATTCATTTTTAGGTTTTTAGATATTTGTTTTAAACAAAACATAGTATTTWAAAAAATGCATACATCCTGCAACCATTATTATAATATGTATGATTAATTATCACGATGTTTCTTAAGTAACATTTAAACAACACGTATTAAAAAATATATATTCATACTATATATCCTGCAGCTGGATACAGTACACGACCATCAATAGTATGACCGACTAAATACTTATTTTCATCTGTTTTTATATCAACTTCAACTTGATTATCATCTGATCCAGAACTCTAAAAATAAAAATTATAAGTTAGCATTTAAATCAAAACCAATGGGATGTTTAATAAAAGAGAATAATCGAATGTATAAGTACTCTAAAAAATAATTTAATCTGTTTTAAAATACTTTTTCAATGAAATTGGGCACTACGTAATCGTTTGAATGATCCCACTTTAACATTGGTGATATCATCGGAGTACCTCTAACCACTGGGTACTCAACTTTGCCGTAGACATTTTGTAATTGAGGCGCTGCTCCAGCAATATATAACCTTAGAAAATAATCGCATTTTCAGTGTTAAMAAATATTAACAAATTCTAGAATCTAGAAAAATAAATACTTACTTTCCAATTGCTTCCAACAAGAAATTCACATGATTAGAAACAGTTTTTTTAGTCAAACCAACATTTGTCACTGTAGAGGGTAGTGATCTCTTCAAAATAGCTTGTAACAAACAATGGGGGGCAATTTCAATTGTTATAGCATTTTCGGGTACATGTTTTATTGCGCCATGAAAGTGAACTGGAGAACTAATATTATGTAAATGGTATTCTGCTGATGAGTACTGGGCTTCGGGTGTATTCCATTCGTGTTCTGGATATGTTGTACTCTTCCAACGACTGGATCTTGGTTTGGGATTGGTCATTATCT